GAATGACTAGCCTCCTCCTCTAACTTCGCCATTGTTCTAGTTTAATTTTTTTTTGGAAACACATTAAATTTGTAATGAATATTTGAATGAATATTATTTAACTTTATTTTTATATTTTAAATAACTCATACAATTTTATTTGCATAATTGGTTTTTATTTTAACTATTAATTTATATAATTTCGCATTATTTATTCTAAATAATTTTTAGTTTTTCTAAATCACGACCGATGAATTTCCAGATGGACGTAGTTCGTCGGTATTTTATAGATAGTTGAAAAATATTTACTGTATATGCCACTATCACCGACATTTATACTGACAAACCTATTCTGTCGATATTTTATTAAGAGTTGCAAAATATTTACTGTATATGCCACACTCATCGACATAACAATTTCATTGATGAATTATTATTGGAAATACAAAGGGAATTATTTCATTGGTATATTTCCAATGGAAATTGTTTTTTTTACGCATTTTTCATATGTAAAACCATTTGTTTTTTATTATTTTTTCACCAAAAGAATGTAAAATTACCGATGAACGTTATGCCAACAGACATTGTATGTTGGGGAATTAGTTGTAATATTTATGTTGGTAAAACTATTAGTTGTTTTAGTGATGTCAATCGCATCTCGCATGTCACAAAAGGTATCTTTGACTCCTTTAATAGAGACATACTATGATAGTTCATTTTGTTAATAACTCCCTTCCCTGAAAAAACTACAATGCACACAATCACAAATAATCAATTTTTGAGTATCAAAATACAATTCACATAAGCAGTATATAGCTAAGTTATGAATTAATATATTGATTCATCCAAATATAACTAAGTCAATATCATAAAATAATTTAAAATAAAACAAAATCTAAATCGAGCTCTAGATTTTATGACCTGCAAGATATTATATTTATGTTAAGCCATATTTAATATTATGTTTCAAGCCTTTACAACTCATCCTAGTTGTTTTAAAATTAGGTCAAAATGTGTTTTTCTATTCACTCTTGATAATTAGGGTAAATGGATCCAACATGGATCATTACATTGCATATTAAAAATATTAGTTGTTTCTTTTGATTTTAAATAAAAAAATAAGTTTTAAAATATCTAAGTCCAATATTGTCTAAAGTATTTGTGCCACTAGATCCCAACACTAAGTAGATTAGCCCATAAAATCCTAATGCTTGGACATTTTAGGATTAAGGTACAAAACACTTATTTAGTAAAAATTAGGAGTGAACCTAGTAAAATAGAATAAATGAACTTGAATAGGGCATTATCCATGGACCACCGTTGCATAAACAAATTGTTTAGCCACATCCCATCCTAAGATTTGAATTGGGTTTAAGGAACCTAACATAGACCCATCTAATTACTCATTAACATGGCTTTATAAATTATTAGTAGTCACGAGTCATGATCTGGAGTAAATGGGGATAGAAATATCAATTCTCCAAACAAATTAGGAGTAATAAAAAAAATCAGTTTTTTAAAATGGATAGAATAAAACCTATTATTAGTTTAACTCATTACAGTAGATTCATGTAGATAAATCATCAATAGATTAGGCACAACAAATTATTAGGGATAAAAGACAAGTAGTAATAAAATTTACTATAAACATTATACTTTAGAATGATAATACATTTTTTTTTGTGTAACAAGTTTCTTATCTTAGAATTCTAAAAATTAATTAGGGTTTTCTTGTAACCATAATTGACGTGAATCAGCCCACGAACACTAATATATATCTATTACATGTTCTAAATAGACTAATTATAAAATCTAAAATAAAGGCATGGAAAGAAGCATTAAGTAAATACTCTGTTACTATTCTCTTGCATCCATATATATATATATATATATATAGACACACAAACACATGAATATCTGATGATGAATATTGCCCATCTTATACTGAAGCAATAAGAGCATACAAGGTAACAAAGCAAAGCAAGATTCAGGAGCTGTCTTTTGCACGTTTTCAATTATCTTTAAACAGTTTTCCTACTAATCGATAACACTCAAATATCCAAATAAAGAGAAGCTTCTCCCTTCCTTTCATTTGTCAAACAATTACTATAATAATAATAATAATAAGAATAATATTAGTAATAATAGTAGTAATAGTGATAATAGTAGTAATAATTATAAAAGAATAATAGTAGTAACAGTGATAATAGTAGTAATAATTATAAAAGTAATAATAATAATAATAATAATAATAGTACTAATAATGATAATTATGCTAATGATAATTCTATTAATATTCATAATAATAGTTATAAGAGTAGTACTAATAGTTTGTTATTATTGTTTTTTCCATAAAAAAAAATATGCACTCGTAGTGCAACACAGAAAGCTACTGTCATGTGCATTATATACGTCAACGTATAGAAGGCGGATACACTATGGTTATTGCATGCAATGCCTCCTAGTGGTTAAAACTATCTATTCACCATGTAGTTTTATGTGTTATTTTTTTTATTTTATCTTTATTCTTTAGATTTTTTATGTTTTTTCTTAACCCTTTTATAAAACATTTATTGGTTTTTCCAAAAAAAACAAATTCGACTTATTTTCACCAATAAACGTGGGTAGGAGGAAAAAGAAATGAGACAAAAAATGAATTTAGAGAGGAATCCAAAAATAGGTTATGACAGGGATAACCCTACAAAATGAAAAGCAGAGCCAATCACAAAACCCAAGGCCTAATAAATCAATGTGAAATGATGAACTTTTTTTTCTAAAATGGATTTAAAAAAAAAAGATTGAACTTAAACCAAGTAAATCATTGAAATTGGTAGACTAGGTTATAAGACTATAACTACTTATAAAAGGCAAACACGAAAAAATTATAACCAAAAAATTTTTAATTATAAAAATAAAAAAATAAAATAATGAGAACTAGATCTTGCACCATAAATAATTGAAAGAATCTAATCAGGGATTAAATTGAAAATAAAATAAATGAAAAGGAGTGATAAAAAAAATAAGGAGCAGAATTTGAATAAAAAATGAATTAAAAGGACAAAATAAAAATAAATAAATGAAAAGAATAAAAAATAGCTATAAAAAAATGAGGATCAAAATGAATACAAAAAATAAATTAAATTAAATACAAAGAGATGAAATTGAAAAAAATAACTTTAAGAAGTACTAAAATCAAAACAAATAGAAATCAAAATAACAAGAATCAAACTCAAAATAAATACAAATAAGAGGACACAATTGAATTCTTAAAGGACTGGCACAAATACCAAGGCCTATGAGAGAGAAAAGAAGGGTAGAAAAAAAAACTCATCGTTGTCCACCTTGCCCAACATGCCACCCTAAATTTGTGTAACAACCTTGCACGTCAAATGAGATGGTGATCGGATTTTTTTAGCCACTAGAATTGTTCTCACATGTCTTTATAAAAGCATGGAGGATTATGATGTGTTGATGCATGCATGACACGAATCATCATATTTTATTGATTTATTTATATTTATAAAAGCATGGAGGATTATGATGTGTTGATGCATGCATGACACGAATCATTATATTTTATTGATTTATTTATATTTTAATAAAATAAATTATAAAAAAAGACTTAAGGGCATATCATTATTACCAAAAAAAAGCTACGAGACAGAGACACAAATGTCTTTCCAAGTCATTTTGAAATTTTAAAAAGGAAAAGCTAAGAGTATAATTTTATTATGTAAAAAAAATATGAAGACAAATAAACCCCTCTCCAAGGTCTTTTTTTTTAGTAGTTAGGGGTATAAATATTATTTCATTGTACAAATAAAATGAAAAGACAAAAAAACTTAAATGAAACACCATTTTGTTAGATTTCAAGGGCAAAAAAGTATTTTCAATGTGCATTTTCAAAGATGAAGGGTTTATATCCTATATAAAAGATAATTTTACCCCCACGATTGTTAAAAATAATGAGTAAAATAATCTACTTGAATACACAATAATTTTCCTCCTATCTTAAAGGAAAAAGCTGTATTCTTTCAAGGTTTTTTTTTTTTAAAAAAATGAGTACGGTGGAATCTAAGAAAAAACCAAATTTGCTGGGGCCTCTCATAGTAGCAGCTGGGTTTCCTTCGGCTTTGGGCCGCGGCTTCAGCATGAAAAAAAAGAAAAAAAAAAAGGTGTATGGCTGGGGGCTAGCATGAGGAAATGGAGAGGAAAGGTTTCTATTTACTCTCCCGTTTTTTCTCTTTCTTTCTTTTATTTAAAATCTTTTTTACTGTTCACAACTACATCATGTAAATTATTTTTATTTATTAACATATAAATCTTTCATTCTTTTATTTAAAATCTTTTTTTACTGTTCACAACTATAAATTATTTTTATTTATTAACATATAAAAAGAAATTGAAAAAAATAAAAAAAATAAAAAAAATGATATTATATTTTAAAAAAAAGTAAGTTGAGACGGTAATATAAGAATTAACACAATGATCCGTAGATCAATCTACATCTCTATTTCCGTAGATCTTTCAACTATTCACGAAATGACTAGAGGCAGGATTTTAGACTTGATCCACTTCCTTAAAAGTCCCTTGGAGTCTTGAAATTGTAGGCCAAAGCTACCTCCTCCATTATCCTCTTAAATTTTCCTCCTCTTAAATATTACACCCATAAATAGATATGGAGGAGAGATTCACCGCGCTGCTGTAGCTTATCATGGAAACCTGCTCGAGGAGAAGAAGCGGTATGGCAGGTAAAAGTTCGTGTGCGATAAAAATTGGTTTTTAAAGTATGTTTTACTTGTAAATAAATTTAAATAATTTTTTTTATTTTTAAAATTTAATTTTGATATAAACATATTAATCAAAATAATTAAAAAATAATAAATAAATAAAATGATATTGTTTAAAAAAAACCTGAGTTGACTCGGTAATATAAGAATTAACCCAATAACACGTAGATTAACCCCACTCTCTATTTCTTGGATATAAATATAGTTCAGATCTTTCAACTATGCACCAAATGACCAGAGGCAGGATTTTAGAGCTATCCACTTCATTAAAAGAGCCTTCGCAGTCTTGAAATTGGAGGCCAAAGCTAGCTCGTCCATTACCCTTTTAAATTCTCCTCCTCTTAAATCTTACACCAATAAATAGACATGGAGGAGATTCGCCGCGCTGCTGAAGCTTATTATGAGAATCTGTCCGATGAGAAGAAGCGAAATGCCAGATTTTCTTTCAATGAAATGGACAAAAACGGAGACGGGAAAATTAACCTAGATGAATACGTGGAGTATCTCAAGAAAGATAACAACACGGTTCTTAGTCATCCAAGCTTGTTTACAGCGCTGGACAAGGACGGCAATGGAAGCTTGGATTTTAAGGAAACAATCGTCTTGTACTACATCATGCAGAGTGGAAGAGCTCTATTTTGCCAGTCTTGTAATACGTTCTTGGCAGACGTATACTTCAGTTGCTCTCAATGTTTCTTCAATGATGATTCAGATAGCACCTATGAAATTTGCTGTGATTGTTATGGTGGTAAAAAGTTCAGACACAACGATGGGCACATCTTCTGCGATAACTATACTTTACTAAGTCAAAGCAGGAGCTTGGCACTAAAAGCTCCCGTACAGGGAATTAATCTTTGAAAATGATATCAACTTCGATCCCTTTATTGTTAGATGATGGCATGCTAGAAAGAAATACTTCAGATTGCTTAAAATTTCCAATTTTTGAAACGAATTAATTATGATTCTTTTATTGTGGATCTGGTTTGAATTGGGTTTTTCTGGCAGATTGCATCTTCATTATTAGGAATTGATATATGTTCTTTCATTAAATTGAAAAAAATTGAGAGAAATAACAGGATTAATCAACTAGTGATACTTATTTTTGTTCTCTCTTTTTTTTTTCGCTATCGGAATAATTTAATCTATTTATTCATCTATTTTCCTTTTTGTGACGTGAATAATTTAATGGCGTGATTTTCTCTTCTATTTTTTTTTATTTATAAAATTTGTCATTCCACAATTTTTATTATTTTTTCCAGAACTATATTTTTTATGTTTATGTATTTTTATTAGTTAAGAGTCCACTTGTCTATCATTTATGTATATAAAAATGGATTAATGATATGTTTTGCTCTTGCCCTCATAATGTTTTTTACTGGATTTTACTCTTATATAAAATTATTTTAGGATTATAGTGTTCCACTTATGTTTTGTTAAGGTTTTGTGTGTTTAATTTTCTTAAATCATATAACACATGTCAAGAACATGTTGCCTGATAGGATTATTAATTAAAAATAAAAATAAAACTATATTTATATGTATAAAAAAATAATATTTGAATTAAAAAAACCCAAACAAATAAAAATTTATCATCAAAATAAAAAATAAACTTAGCATTTTGTTAAGAATATTAATTATACATAAAAAAGAAATTAAAAAAGACGTGTACACACACACACACACACACACACACACACATATATATATATATATATACATGAAACTACCAAATACTTAGTTTTAGGAAAATAATAACTCATATTTGTCCTTATTTTCAAGTAAAACGTAATTATCTCAAACACACAATTAATCAAAAAATGGTAAAATTTTCATTGATCATATGTATTGTTCCTGTACTCTTTTCCTTAATAGATTTTTCTTTACATTTTTATGGATTATGTGCTGTTCCACTACATGTTTCGTTAAGGTTTCTTTTCTTGCGTTCAATTCCCATAAATCATATAACACGTGTCAAGAATATGCATTGACTGTTAATAGCATTACTTGAAAAAAAAGACTACATATAAAAGATTCAATATATATATATGTGTGTGTGTGTGAGAGAGAGAGAGGAAAACTAACAAATACATAATATTTTTAAGAAGAAACTAACTCATATTTGTCATTATTCTCCTGTAAAGCCTAAATATCTTAAACACACAATTAACCATAAAATGCTAAATTTCTCGTTCATAATAAGATTAATAAATACAATTATTAGATATTAATATTTATTGGTATTTTTTGAACTAATATTAAATATTTGATAAAGGAGAAAATTTGTAACTAAATTTTTAATCAATAAAATGAAAAAATTAAATCTATGACAATGTGTTTTGATGTTTTGATCTGATTAATAGAAATTCAAGCTTATGGATCATTTCTTATTTATGGTTGATATATAGTAAAATATACATCAATACAAACAACTCAACAGTTGAATTAGTTGCCTATTGATCAAACCGGTGATCCAAATAGTTTTTTTTGATTAATTTACTTGTCTACTTTGATAAAAATATCTTTCTAATTAAATTTTTAGAATTTAAAAAATCTCAATTTTTTTTTAATTGTAGCTTTTGAATTTAATGTCTTGTTGTCCTAATCACATAATTCAACAGAATTCTGACGAGGGGAAATCTATAAGAAAATCTTAAATCTTAAATATACATCATAGGAGTTAGAATATATATATATAACATTATGAGGGGGAAATCTAATGTCTTGCAGCTTTTGAATTTAATGTTTTGTTGCCCTAACCATTATGTGGCTTTTTTCTATAGCATAGTGATAATGAGAACACATTCGAACTTTATTTTATAGTTTAGATGTTATCAATTAGTTTCACAAAATTTATCATAACAAAACATTAGTTTCAAATATCTAATCATAAGTTTCGTTATCTTTAATTTCAGAATCGAAGAAATGTGCTTGAAAAAATTGGAAAGATAGTGATTACAAGTGTGGCTGATGGTTTTGGCTGTAGCATTATGTGAAAGAACGGATGATGCATTTTATCATCATTGTGTTTCAATTTTATTAGAATTTTATGAAGGGTGAAACTTGAATAGCTTGCTTATAAAAGACTATTATTGATGAAGTAATGAAAACTTCATAATAAAATGAACTTTTCATGAGCTATGATCAGCTAGTGTATTAGTGAATATTATGTATTTTGTTTGAACTTATAAAATTGTTAAATGGTTGTTTATGATTTACTAAATTTCTTGTGTGGTTACTTATGGTAGATGGTATTGTTGTATGGTTACCTGCAGTTGCTGATAAAAAGCATTAAGAATATTCATTCACTCTTTATTGATTCATTTCAATTATACACAAGTATATGATCATATAGATTGTACTTGAAATTCTAATTCAGGTAGGTAATTATTCTTATACCTAGATATAGCTTAATTAGAGATAATGGTTAAATCCTAAATTTCTTCCCTACAATTTCTCCCTCAAATCTTACACCAACGCTCACCCTCAAGTTGGTATATGGATATCTTTAATGCCCAATTTTTCTAGTGAGTTATGAAATACTTCGCTAAAGACTGTCTTTGTAGAAATTTGAGCAAGTTGTTCTTTTAACATTACAAAAAAAAATTTTAATTATCCTAGCTTCAAGCTTTTCTTTGAAAAAATGTTGGTCCACTTCTACATGTTTAGTTCGGTCATACTAGACTGGATTTTATGTAATCTTCATTGCAACTTTATTATTACAAAATAGACTTATTTCAAAATTGAATAAATAGTCAATTTCCTTTATTAGCGTCTTTAACCAAAGGAGCTCACATAGTCCCTTAGTCATACCTCTAAATTTAGCTTCTCTGCTAGATAATACTACCACCTTTCATTTGTTACTCTTCTAAGTAACTAGATTACCTCCCGCAAAAATGAAACATCCAGCTATAGATCTTTTATCAGTTGTGCTTCTAGCCTAATTAACATCTTTTTACCCATGAATGCTTAGATGCTCAGGTTTTATGAAAAAAGACTCCTTTTCCTTAAAAGGACTTTAAATATCATAGGATCTAAAATACAGTATTCATATGATCCTCACTAAGATTATGCATAAATTGACTTAGTAAACTCACAACATACGTAATATCTAGATATGTATGAGATAAATAAATTAAGTTTCCAACAAGTCATCGATACCTCTCTTTACTTGTTTGTATTTAAGTTAAGTGTTTTCCCAATCAATAATTCTAAATAATTAGTGTATCTATGGGTTACAATCCAGCATTCTTGTTTTTATTAGCATATTTAGTACATATTTCCTTTGTGATATAAATATGCCTAAATTTGATTGTGCCACTTTAATGCCCATAAAATATTTTAATCTCTTAAGATTCTTTATTTCGAACTCAATGGCCAGATGCTTTTGTAAATTAGCAATTTCCTCCTCATTATCTTCTATAATTATCATATCATCAACATAGATTATTACAGTCGTTCCAATCCCTTGTCTATGTTTTAAGAATAAGGTATAATATGAACTGCTTTGTTTAAAACCATGCTTCTTTGTAGCCAAGCTAAATCATCCAAACCATGCTCTAGGTGACAATTTTAGCCCATACAGTGCCTTTTGTAGTTTGCACACCACTTCAATTTGCAATATTGCGGTAAAACTTGGTGGAAAATCCATGTATACTTCTTCTGCTAGATTTTCATAGAGGAATGCATTGTTCACATTGAATTAATGTAGTGACCAATCTAAATTTATAGCAAAAGACAACAACAGTTTGACAGTATTCAACTTTGCTACAAGTGAGAATATTTCCTGATTGTCTATGTCATATGTCTAGGTATACTCATTCGCTACAAGTCTTGCCTTATACCTTTCTATAGATCCATTTACCTTGTAATTGGTAGAGAACACCCACCTACACCTCACTATCTTCTTTCCTTTGGATAGTCATATGAGCTTCCATGTATCATTCTTCTATAAAGCTGTCATTTCCTCATATATTGCTTGAACCCATATGGGATTATGCAATGCATCTTATACTGTATTTGAAATGTTATCTAAAGATAACTTATATATGAAAGATGTGAGAGGCTATGATACTTTTTTAGTGCAAATATAATTGGAGATCGGGTACATTTTTCCTTTCCCTTTATGTTCTGGTGAGTATCTTGTTAGTGGCTTATCATGATTATTCATGAAAGGTAATATTTATACAAAATAATTATTTATATCATTATTGTTAGAAGAGTTTGGAAATTGTACCTTAAGGATGTTTACCATGTAATAAAAAGTAAGGAGTGTCAGAATTAAGAGTAGAGGAATGCAATCTATTAATAAGATAAACAATAGTTGTGAAAGCCTCTACCCATAAGAATAAAGGACTACCACTATGAAGTTACATTTTTATACCTGGTTCTCTTATAATTTTGTGTCACTTTTTAACCATACCTGTTTGTTCAGGAGTGTAAAGGTAAGATACTTAATAAACAATTCCTATGGAACGAAAATCACTTGACATTTTGAGTTAATGAACTCTCCTCCTCCATCTGAGTGGAAGACTTTGATCTATTTATTAAACATACATTTCAAATAATTTAGAAAATTTAGAAAATCAGATTTGTTTTGAAGAGGAATTATCCATGTATATTTAGAGAAATCATCGATTTGGCAAGCATAATACTTGAATTTTCTAATAAATAAAATAAGGGCAGGTCCTATAAATCACAATGTATTTTCTAAAAAAT